AGACCCTAGACCCTGGTAGACCCTGGTAGACCCTAGACCCTGGTAGATCCTGGTAGACCCTAGACCCTGGTAGACCCTGGTAGACCCTGGTAGAAACTAATAGAAAGTGAATTATTTTGTAATTCAGTGTTTTTGAATTATTTTGTAATTCATTTACGTCATTCAGTGGACTAGCATCGGGTACCTCTGCTAGTTATGAATAAAGTTAAACCACACGTGTTGTTGCTTAGTTCTATTATTACTATTGGTAATAATCGTTTGGAACAACTTGCAATTGATAAACGTCATTCAATTGATTTAACTTTTGATTATGTTCAATCACCATATGAAACAGTTATTCAACGATTTTATTCATATATTATGTCTCATATTATCGATAATATTCAATCGTTGACAATCAATATTCGACATATTTCTGATGTAATTACTTTTGCTAAAAATAACTATGATGGAACTCTTCCAAATTTGACATATTTGAAAATAATGATTGGTAGACAGCATCACAAAACAGGCACTCCTTATACATTATATAGATCAGGTAAATCATTATTAAGTATATTTTCTTAAATTCTGTTTAAATACTACATCGATTTTATTTCCTGCTTAGAACATAAAGAAAATTCTATGATTTTGAGAATATCTTCCTGTCGCTATTTTATGGAAAACAAGGGTGGGTATGGGTGTGGGTATGGGTGTTGCTACAGGTGAAGAACTAATATTTAGCTCATTCACACCCACACGCACACCAAGAAACCGGTCTGCCGTTGTGATGAAATTTTGATTTTGGTATATGATTTGGATAGAGGGACTTGAGATCTATAGCTCAAGGCACAATGCGAATTGTCGCGTTTCACATTCTAACGCTGAATCAACGAAATCACGTTCTCGCTTACTTAAATAATACGAATTTCTGTCGATTTTCTCCTGTATTTTACTTTTTCTGAAAATTTCATGGGAGCCACGAGCCAGTTTCATGCATTCTATTGAATATTTCCCTGAGATGATTGGTTTTAAAAACTTTTGTCTTACACGTTTTTCGAGAAAAAGACGGTCCAATGTCTTCTCTTTCAATTGCTGATACTTGCAAGTCTCTAACTTGTTCCTATCAAAAGTTATTCAAAAAGCATCCAAGCACACTGACCTCTGGAGTCGATATTAGTAGAATTTGCAAAGAAACAAATTATATTATGGCTCTTCTAATTCTTTTCAAAAAATCTATGAAAAATATTCTTACCTACGGAATATGATGAAGAAGGTGAAGCAATTCAGTTTGGTAGCTGCCTTTTTATTAGACGAACATCATGCGAATGATTTTTTCCTCCCACTTGAAAAAAACCATATATATTTCAATTAGTCATAAACAAGTTAATTTTTGTGGGTTCACTTTAATTTATAGAGAAAGAAATACACCGTATGTAGAACTCACTCAAAAAAAAAACGCATTGTAAAAACAACCTGCAAGCCGTGTTTACAGAACCAATGGTAAACATCAAGTTTCGAGTATAAAATAAATCAGATCTATATTTTTCGTCCACTGTGGATTGTTTATACAACCAGGGTGTGGGTATGCGTTTGGGTGGATGTAGAGTTTGGCACTAGCAGGTCCATCATGTCGGCGAACCGGCGACTGCCGTCCCATTGCGAATTTTTTCTCCATTTTTCTTCAGCAAAAATCAAACTAAAAGGGCTGTGCTAGCTCGAATAGGCTTAGTAAACCATTTTTTGACCGTGACTGCTACTTCCTCCAGCAAATCGCTATCCTCTCACTGATTTTCTGGATTCGCCACTGGAGTATGGGTGTGGGTGTGGGTCAGTGGATAGTAAAAATGGGTCAAGAGCAATTCCCAGGTGCCAAATCGGTTTTGAGTCGAGACTGCGTACATTATGTAGGCTCTAATCAGCCATGAACGCTCTAAAGAAAGTTCGCACTTCTAGCTTATTTCTGTCAAGATATTTGATTTTTACGGCAACTTTTAGCACAACGCTGTGGACCCGCTCAGATCTACCTGAAAAATCAACTTTCGAATTTCGACTTGAAACTTTGTGCAGAGAAAGGTCTGAATGAGATTAGTTTAGTTCGAAAGTTTCAGATTTTTAGGTTCCTTCTATTCCAAGATATGAGTATAGGAAAAATGCTCCTTTTCACTTTACTTATAACACAAAATGTTAAATGTTTATATTTAAGGGGGCCCCCTCTCAGAAAATACAATGTTTCAAAGGCAAGTCGAAATTGAAGTTTTATCATAGGAAGATGCATTGAAGTCTCCTTTTTCAGAATATCTATGGTTTATTGAAAAGTGAATTGGTTTTGACGAACTTATCGTCTAAAACTTGACTTCTACAATCATGTTTTTCGAGAAATTTTGATGGTGTTTTTTCAAGGTTTTTTCACATTCTGGGCTCTTTTCTCTTTGCATCAGCATTTCGTAAAGTCTTTTTTAATACTAGTCACTACAAGACTATTAAAACTTGATATTAAGATGACATATTTCTAGCCTGCCTTGAACATTAATATATAAATCAGATGATTTTCGAGAAAATCGCTTTCTAATGCTTATTTTTCGTTTTTCTTAAAATCAGTTTTTTTGTCATGCAGTTTACGCGGGCAGGTTTTTCTCCTTAACGACTCGACATGGAAGTGAAAATTTTTTTTAGTGTATAGGAGACATGTAGGGTTAGGACTTAACAGGCTCCGATTTTTAAATTTTTCTTTGGCTGAAATAAAATATTTAGCTATTTCATTTCTTTCAGCACTTCGAATTCGAATATTTTTCGAAAAACATTTTTTACAAATCAAATGAAGGAAAATTCAAAAATCGGATCCTGTTAAGTCCTAGCTCTAAGGGTACTCTACAACATGAAAACCACCCGGACTTGTTAGCTCGTGTCCTTATTGCGAAAATCCTTGCCCGCGTAAAGAGTAATGAATTGACTAAAACTTGTGCATTTCTTTGAGATTTGGGGGAGATATTTTAACCATAAGCTATTCTAGCCAAGACTAACATTCTCTGAAATTTTGGTTGAAATCGGATGAAAAATAGCAAAGTTCGTTTCTGAGGAGGGGGCCCCCTTACGGATAAGAGCAATCAAAAAATTTGAAAGCCTCAGAACAAACTAGTCTTATTGAGATCTTTCTCTGCACAAATATTCCAGTCGAAATTCGAAAGTTGATTTTTTCGGCGTGCCTAAGGGAAACCACGAGAATGTGGATGTGCGGGTGTAAGTGTGAGTGTGGGGGAAGGAATGATCCGCACTTACAGTAATACACTCACCCACATCAACACACTCATTGATACCCAGACCGACACACCCACACTAGGAGTGGCACATTACTATTACTTTTTTATTACCATTACTCAGTAATTGGTAATAATAATTATTACTTTATTACTTATTACTAGTAATAAAACAAAGTATTACATTATTACCAGTAATAACGTAATAATTATTATTACTTTATTACTTATTACTAGTAATAAAAAAATTATTACTTATTACCAGTAATAAGGTAATAAAACCTTGACAGTAATAAAAGTAATTATTAATAACAAGTAATAATTATTACTGTAATAAAGTAATAATCTATATACATAATGTTCAGTGTGTGTTTCTTCATGCCGGAGCAAAGTTAAAGGTCAATAAGGCTAGAAAGGGGAAAGCGCCAAGGCTATTATGTTGGGGGCCCATAGGTCCTCTACCGCTATCCTATGGAGGTACGCGTAGGTCCTCAAGGGCTATCCTATGAAGGTACCCTGGGTCGTCAAGGGCTATCCTATGGGAATGTTCCTGGGTTGTCAAGGGCTATGCTATGGGGGTATCCCTAGGTCCTCAAGGGGCTATTATATGGAGGTACCCATAGATCCTCAAGAGCTATTCTGTAAGGGTACCCATAGGTCCTCAAAGGCTATCCTATGGGGATATCCGTGGGTCGTCAAAGGGCGTTTATATGTAAGTACGCATAAGTCCTCAAGAACTGTCCTGTGGAGGTACCCATAGTTTCTCAAGGGCTATCCTATGGAGGCGTCCCTTGGTCGTCAAGGGGCTACTATATGGAGGTATGCATACGTCCCCAAGAGCGATTGTATGAGGGTAACCATAGACCCTCAAGTACTATTATATAGGGGTACCTATAAGTCGTCAATGGCTATTATATAAAGGGATCCATAGGACCACAAGGGCCATAGGGCTATAATGGAGTAGGGAATAAGGGATAAGGATATAAGAGTAATGAGGATAAGAGACTAAAACTACAGGGTCATAAGGGGTACAACTAAAAGAGTATAAGAAGATAAGGGTACAAGGTATAAGTAGATAAGATTGTATGGGACATAAGCAATAAGGAAATAACGGATAAGACTATAAGAGGTAATACCCCAACAGTACAAGGCTACAAGAGTGTAAGAGCACAGGACAGGAGTATAAAGCTAGAAGGTCCTCTATATATATACTAGGTGGGAAATAATATTTTGCCAGGAGGGTACCCCTATAATTTCAAATAGAAGACATAATGAATTTTATATCAAATGAAAGCTTGTCAAAAACGGAGTTTATTGGTACTAAATGGTAAGGTTTATGAAAACTTTTTAACATTGAACTTAAGAAACATTCAGAAACTTTATACCGTTTTTGTGGTGGAAAAGTAAAGCGCCAGTAATTGAAAAATGAATTACAATGTTTTTCTTGGATATTTTTACATGATTTGCTAGAGCTCTATTATTATGTCTTATGAAAACATCCATGTGTAACATTTCAAATACACACAGTTTTTGCATAACAACCGGTCTAGTTTAACACAAGATTTTACACTATAGGAATCGACTAAATTAAAGCATGTATCCTTTGCTTTTTAATAATTCAACTTATACGACAAACTTACATATTTTTCAAATTCGAAAACTATAATCCTAGTATGTACTGGCATCGTCCAAGATTATTACTAACTAGCGTCAGCTCGTGCATACTGCACGGCTGTTTTCTCCTTTCACCTATGGCCTCAAACGTTTAACTTTTCATCCGATAACAGACATTCAGACACTCGATATTATGTATTTAGATATATAGTCTTGCGGCCTCATACCGTTATATCGTAGATGTTTTTATATTACATGTAGGTTTCGCCCGTATAGCCTTATATCCCTTATAGCTCTTGTAGCTATATCTTCTTATTGCCTTACTGCCTTCAAGGCCGATGAGTGGGTATCCCATCGAACAGTCCTTCAGGACATAGGAATTCCTCCATAAGCTAGCCTTTGACGACCTATGGGTGTGGGTGTGGGTGTGTGGGTGTGGGTGTGTGTGCAGGTGTGGGTGTGGGTGGGTGGAGTGTGGGTGGGTGTGGGTGTGGGTGTGGGTGTGGGG